GACGCTCGGACGGGGGGAGGGCGTGCTAATGGCAAGCTGGGCGACAGCATCGCGAGAAAGCCAGACAGAGCGCGCACGGGCAGTGGCAGCAGTAGACTCACGCTCAGTGGGTGTGGGGTCAGCGGGCAGAATAGCAGGAGGGTCTGGGCAGGGGAGCGTACCGTCAAGGTGTGCGGAAAGCGGTTCACCATCCTGCCGCTGGCCAGTGAGTTGGCGGCGGAGGTCGGCAAGCCACGCCTCGAACTCTAGGGGCTGACCTTCAGCGTCGAAGCGAAGCTCCGCCGCCATCAGGAACAGTCCAGTGCTGTGCAGGGCGGTGCAGCTAGGTGGGGTGCGGTGCAGTGCGATACAGTGCGGTGCAGTGCGGTGCAGTGCGGTACTGTGCGGTACAGTGCGGTGCAGTGCGGTGCAGTGCGGTACAGTGCGGTGCAGTGCGGTGCAGGGCAGCACGGAGCAGGGCGGGGGTGGGGGGGGGGGGGGGGGGGGGGGGGGGGGGGGGGGGGGGGGGGGGGGGACCGTACGAGTGAGGAGGACGGGGCCGGGGCTGGCCCGACGGGGCCGGGCGGGCGCGACGGGGCCGGGCTGATGCGACAGGGCCGGGACGGGGCGACGGGGCCGAGCGGGCGCGACGGGGCCGGGCTGGGGCGACGGGGCCGGGCGAGTGCGGCAGGGCCGGGCCGGTGCGACGGGGCCGGGCGAGCGGGACGGCGGCCGGGCTGGTGCGACGGGGCCGGGCGGCTGTGACGGGGCCGGGCAGGGTGCGACGGGGCCGGGCGGGTGCGACGGGGCCGGGCGGCTGCGACGGGGCCGGGCGAGCGCGACGGGCCGGGCAGGGTGCGACGGCGCCGGGCGGGCGCAACGGGGCCGGGCGGCGGCGACGGCGCCGGGCGGGCGCGACGGGGCCGGGCGGCGGCGACGGCGCCGGGCGGGCGCGACGGGGCCTGGCGGCGGCGACGGCGCCGGGCGGGCGCGACGGGGCCGGGCGGCGGCGACGGGGTCGGGCGGGCGCGACGGCGCCGGGCGGGCACGACGGGGCCGGGCGGTGGCGACGGGTACGACGCGGCCGAGGAGGGTCGCTACGGGGCCCAGGAGGGGCACGACGGGGGGCCCAGGAGAGGCGCTACGAAGCCCAGGAGGGGCGCGACGAGGCCCAGGAGGGGCGCTACGGGGCCTGGGAGGGGCGCGACGGGGCCTGGGAGGGGCGCGACGGGGCCCAGGAGGGGCGCTACAGGGCCCAAGGAGGGCGCGACGGGGCCCAGGAGGGGCGCTACGGGGCCCAGGAGGGGCGCGACGGGGCCCAGGAGGGGCGCTACGGAGCCCAGGAGGGGCGCGAAAGAGCCCAGGAGGGGCGCTACGAGGCCTGGGAGGAGCGCGATGGGGCCCAGGAGGGGCGCTAGGGGGCCTGGGAGGAGCGCGACGGGGCCTGGGAGGAGCGCGACGGGGCCCAGGAGGGGCGCTAGGGGGCATGAGCGGAAGCGGTAGGTGGGGGGGGGGGGGGATCCTATCTACGCTCTGATACCATAACAGAATAATTGAAATGATGGTAAAGTGAGAGTACACACAAATATATCTAAGTTTTGTATCCTCTAAGAGGTGACTCTATACAGTCTATACAAACATGACAAATACACATGTTTGACAATACCTCCAAACCACAAGCAAGGTCTGGTTTCCAGATTCTGTTCTTTCCTAATGTACAGGAATGTAGTATAGACCTTGAAACTGGAAGTGATGGGGAAAGGTACAGAAGATATTCCTTTCCACAAGCCTCCTGCAGCCTGCTGACTGTGTGAAGTCTTCTCCATTGGCCGAAGTGTGCAGCCAGTAGCCCCCATGGCTCCCCCCTCCACCTCCCTCCCCACTGGTCAAGTGGGATCAACTGGGTGGCATCAACTGAGTGTTGAGACATCTGCCACTCATTCCAAAAGATGGCTCCCAATTCTTTCTTTTTGTCAGAAGAGATTGTTCCAGAGGAGATTGTGCCAGAGATGAGATAGGGACAGAGAGGGCCCACGACGAACCTTTCACCATTGGAAAACAACGGTGTCTGTTCATTCTGAACTTTCCTACATTTTGATTCACAGAAAACCTTTGATTGTTGTCATTCTAAACAAACCATTCGATTCCAAAACTGGTGCAACTTTAATTTACAGTTTCACAAGAGAAAAGTAAGGTCTAAGCTAAGGACGGAATCATCGCCGGCTGCTGGCTTCCTCAGCAGCAAGGTCGAACATCCGCTCCAGAGCATACATGTTCTCCAGCGTCTCACTGACCGTCCTCGCATCGCTGCCGTCGCTCCGCAGGTGGGTCATGGGTCCGTGCAGAATCTTGTTCACGATGCCCTTGCTCAGCTCCTCGATCAGCTTCTTCTGCTTCTTCGTCGGCTCCTCGCCCATCTTCGCCAGGATTCTGTCCAGCTCAGCCTGCCTGATTCCCTCAATTTTCTGGCGCAGCTTCTTGATGGTCGGGACGGTTTCAAGCGAATCCCTCCACGCGTCGAAGGCCTGGAGCTCGTCCTCGATAATAGCCTGAGCCTCCAGGGCCTTCTTTCTCCTCTCCTCCTTGTTAGCAGCAACCACCTCCTTCAGATCATCAACATTGTACACCCTGGTCTGCTGGACATTGGCGACGCATGAGCCAACATTGCGAGGGACGGAGATATCAATGAAGTGCCTGACGCCGTCGGTGAGATCGCCAGCAGGAGGAAGGCCCTGGACGTTGGCCTCCTCAAACAGAAGCGTCTCTGAAGCCGTGCTGGTGAAAACCACCTCGGCCTCGGCAGCTGCTTGCATCATGTCAGGAAGCGGCCTGTAGATGAGCGTGGCGTCGGGGAATTCCGACTGCAGCTGCTCTACACTCCCTAGGGACCTGTTCACAACGGTCATGGTGCTGCAGCCCTTGGAGAGCAGATGCTTCACCAGGAGACGGGACATCTTGCCAGCTCCGACGATCATCACACGGGCTTCCTTGAGCCCAGCTTCAGGGAGCTTCATGGCCGCGAGCTCGACGGCAGCAGAGCTGACGGACACGGCACCGGAGGCGATGCTGGTCTCGGTACGCACACGCTTGCCGGCCTCGATCGCCTGCTTGAAGAGACCGTTGAGGTTGCGTCCGAAGCCCTCGGCAGCCTGGCCGACCTTGAACACCTGCTTCACCTGAGCGAGGATCTGACCCTCTCCGAGCACCAGCGAGTCCAGGCCGGACGAGACGCGGAGGAGGTGCTGAGTAGCGTCCCTCTGGCGGAGAAGGAAGAGGTGCTGGCGAAGCTCCTCGACGGGAACACCGCTCGACTGAAGAGGGGTGAATCGGGATAAAAGGTTGGAACATTAATACCACGAAAAGACTCCCGGATTCATCCAATAATCTTTCCGATTCGGGAAAAAGGGTACGGAATGCAAAGCGAACGTGGCTCACCTTCGACATCCACTCGGTGACCTCGGCGAATGCCCCTGTGCCACGAGAGCGCCACGACGTAGATTTCCATGCGGTTGCATGTGCTCAGAACAGCGGCCTCCTCAATGTGGGGGTACTCGCAGAGCTCTCCGATGGCTCGGGGCCACTCGGCTTCGGGGACGGCGAGCTTCTCACGCATCGAGACGGGAGCGGTGTGGACGCTCAGACCGACGACAATGATGCTGCTCTTCTCGCTCGTGTACCCTGAGACGATCCAGGGTAGGATGAAGCAATTTGCACTGTTAGCTGAGGTTCGTGTTTCATTGCGTTATGGCTCGTTCAAAAGGAAATTGCAGACTGCGACAGGTTCAACGCTAATGCACAACGCTGGGAACGTACTGTTGGTGTTGGCGACCCGCAGTTGCTCGAGAGCAGCAGCGCTGTTAGCTCGGAGCTTGTGGGTCCCGGGAGGGCCAGAAGACAGAGAAGCCGACACAGGGGAGATAGTCCTGGCGACAGGAACGGCCTGACGACGAGCGACATTGAGCTTCTCTCCAAGCAACGAGCTTTCCTTCAGGTAAACCTGCTCCTTGGCCTTCAAGGCCTCCACACCTTCCGCGCGGGGAAGGGTGGAAATCCCACGAGCAGCAACATAGCTGACAGAAGCCATGTCGGGCTTGTTGGGACAAACCAGTCAGGAAGAAAGACTAACGACTGGGTAAGGGATCGAAAATCGATCAACCCGTGGAAGTTGAACTTTCAACGGTTAGCTTTCCTCGGGCAAGGATGGCACGAGGAGAGCTCGTCGACAAGCTATGGCTGCCGTGAGATAAAGAGATCAGGAGCGTGTCAAGCAGATGTCATACTGGTGACTGGGCAAGGGGAAGCGGTAAGGGGGAGCAGGCTGGGCAAAACCTGACTGCTCCGCCCCAGCAGAAATCAAGCCTTGCCGCCAGCGGAACCACCAGCTGCCAGCCTGACCAGCAGCCCAGGGCACAGAGAGGGGTGCAGAGAGCGTGGGATCCCTGGGGAGGGCCCTCTGGCTTGGGTTCAGCGCTGGGCGAGGCATCCTGTTCGCAGGATTCTGTCGCCAATAACTATGGGTTCGTGGTAGTGCGAATCTGAAATCCTATTCGCCATCGAGATCACGAAAGCGATCCACGTCGGATGTGTGACCCTAAGGATGACCACGTCATTGGGCCGTTGTGGGAGGGGATGATGAGCCTTGGGGTTGCTCCACGACAGCGGCAACTTCCAGCTTTGTACGAACCTTATTCGTAGGTTCGGGGTGTCGAGATCGCCAGACCTAACCTCGAAACGCAGTTTCCAAAGCTACAGAACACCTGGTTTTACCTCAGAAGTTGACGGTTTTTCGAGGAGGTTCTGGAATGTTTTTAGCTACGAGGAAGTTGCGATGTTGGCTGATGGTAAAACATCGGATGCATTTCTGATTTTTCGTTGACAGGTCATCCCACAAAATTCGGATGAATTCACAGCCACCGTCACAAAAATTCCAAGCCAACAGCGCAAACCGTGTCGGCGAGGAGTCGCACATGAATGGTTTTGCGAAACGCACTGTTACGAACCACTCATGGAACAGCAAGAAGGAACTCTCTACCAATGTATTACCTTCGAATACAACTAGGCATCCATCCAATCATTACAATGCGTCAATGTCAACATGCACACAGCTATGCTACTGAGGAGCCCATCAGAACAAAGCTGCAAAGACAGCTTCAAAGTGACCCATGCACTTCCAAAATTCATGCAGCCGCTGTTGTGCATACGCCATGTAGTCAAAACCAGCATCTGAGACTGCCGCCTGCCGTGAGAAGTCATCAGGTGCGAAAAGGGTAGAGCAAACAGAATAGACTGGCTTGACATGGCATTCTGACATCACTGCATTCTGAAAGAAACTGTCAAACGCAAGACGAGGGCAGCACAAATCATAAGCACCGTCTACAAAGCCTAAAATGACGTACCGAAATGATGCCCCAGAGGAACCAATGCAGATGGCATACTGGAAGAAACACATCCACAGCTTGCATAAGCCCCTCCGCGTCACTGGCATCAAGGCTGCTTGTAAGGGGGAGACCACTGTAGCTGGAGCTGCTTTCAGCATCAAAGCAGAGGTTGGGACAGGTATGGGAAGGCCTGGTGGCGAGATAGCTGTCGATGAACCACCGCTGCTCGTCCTCAGCTGGCAAGAATGGGGATGAGGGGTTGGGGCCAGCCAAGGGTTTGGGGGCCAGCGAGGGGGTTGTGTGAGTGTGGGTCAATATATGGCGTGGTGGGTTGAACGCTGGTGAGTGTCTAGACAGTGCATGTGTGTTGTGACTGTGTTGCATGCTGTGTTGAACTGTCACATGCTGTGTTGAGCTGTCACACGATGAAAGAAGGCGCGAGAAGTCACTTTTGAAGGGGTACAAGAACACACAGCAGGGTATAATTCACAAGGGCTTTCCTGGTCGTCTAGGAGGTGTGGCTGTGAGCTGTCACATCTGGTTGCCACAGGCCAGGCCAGGAGCACAAGCTGAGAGTGGCACATGAAGTCCCACAGGGCAACAAAAACACTCACAAGGGTACTTGCTGTAGTCCAGGAGGTGAGGCTGAGGGCTGTCATCGTTGGCTGCTTCAGGCTACATCAAGTCCCACAGGGCTGAGGGTGGCTGAGAGTGGCACATGAAATCCCACAGGGCTACATACATACTCACAAGGGTACCTGCTGTAGTCCAGGAGGTGAGGCTGAGGGCTGTCATAGTCGGCTGCCATCTCACAGAAGTGGTTGGCCATGTCAAACGCCATGTGGGCATAGCCACTGTACTCGTAGTCCTGGGATAGCGGGGTAGTGGAAGGAGGGGGAAGGAAGGGAGGATGAAAATAAATAGAGGGGGGGGAGGTTTGGCAGAAGGCACAAGGGGTTTGCAATGTCAAACGCCACGTGGGCATAGCCACCGTACTCGTAGTCCTGGGATAGTGGGATAGTGGCGATGGGGATGTGCGAGGGGGAGTAGAAAGGATGACGGAATAGAAAAGGATGGAGAATGCAACGGACACAAGTGAGCTGAGCATAGCCAATGTTGCCGTAGTCCTGGGATGCTGAGAAGGTAACAGGATCGGTTGGAAGGATGAGTGGGCCGCAGGAAAGTGAGTGGAGCGTGGGAAAGTGAGTGGAGCGCCGGAAAGTGAGTGGAGCGTGGGAAAATGAGTGAAGCGTGGGAAAGTGAGTGGAGCGTGAGAAAGTGAGTGGAGTGCCGGAAAGTGAGTGGGCCGCGGGAAAGTGAGTGGAGCGCCGGAAAGTGAGTGGGCCGCGGGAAAGTGAGTGGATCGAGGAGAAAATAGGGCAATACTGGTTGGAGATGTCAAATGCCACGTGTACGTCAGCCACTGTGCTCGTAGTTCTGGGATGGTGGGAAAGGGAGGGTGGGAAGGGGGGGCGAAACGAGATGGTAGGATGGGAAGGCAGGGGAAGCTGATAGGAAGCGAGGAGACTTTTGAGTCGACTCAAAAGTCACCTCGAAACGAGATGGTAGGATGGAAGGCAGGGGAAGCTGATAGGAAGCGAGGAGACTTTTGAGTCGACTCAAAAGTCCCCTCGAAACGAGATGGTAGGATGGGAAGGCAGGGGAAGCTGATAGGAAGCGAGGAGACTTTTGAGTCGACTCAAAAGTCACCTCGAAACGAGATGGTAGGATGGGAAGGCAGGGGAAGCTGATAGGAAGCGAGGATGAAGGCGACAAGACAATTGGTGCGTGATGCCCAATGCCACATGCGCGCAACCACTGTACCACTCCAATGCCCCAAGGCACTATATTTGTAGCCCTGGGTGGGATGCTGCCAGGGGGGATGGTACGATCGGAAGGTGCGGAAAGTTGAGGATAGGAATATGGAAGGGACGGATTCCTTCCACACAGGCACCATACCATGTGAACAAAATTGCTTACTGAGTACGATCCTCACAGTGTCGTTCTCCCTCAGAATGTTCCCATGCTGCACATCCATGTGACAGAGACCCAACCACCACCGCCCACACCCCTTCTCCTCCCCTCCCTTTGAGTCGACTCAAAAGTCACCTGGTTAGCAAAGCTGCTTACAATGAGTACGATTCTCCCCGTGTCGTTCTCCCTCAGAATGTTCCCATGCTGCACATCCATGTGACACAGCCCCAACCACCGCCCACACCCCTTCTCCTCCCCTCCCTCTCCCTCCCCTCCTCTCTCCCCCCATCTTCGCTCGGCTTCTTCCTCCAGCCTTTGAATCTTCTCCCCCAGCTGCCGAGGATTGGCCCCGTGCACCCCCCACGGGTGCAGCAGCTGCGCCAGAGAGAGCCAGCGACTGGAGGAGGGGGAGGGGGGGGGCAGGATTGGGAGAAAGCAACGAAGGGAAGCAGCATTGCTATGCTGGCGCCAGCCTGTGCATATCCCCCCCTCCCAGCCATTCAAGCCCCCCAGCCATTCAAGCCTCCCAGCCATCAAGCCCCCCAGCCATTCAAGCCCCCCAGCCATTCAAGCCCCCCAGCCATTCAAGCCACCAAACCATCAGGCAAGAAAGGACCTACCGAAGGCGCGACCACAGGCACGAAACCATATCCTCAGGTGTGCTTCCAGGAAGCTTCAGCGCATGGAAGCGCCTCATGCACTGTGCAATCTGCTGGGATGTCTCTGGCCGCCTCATGTCCGTTGCTGTCAACGGCTGTGCCAGGGGGGAGCGACATGCAAAGGGCAGGAATGAGGCAAGTGCTAAGGGTGCGAGAGAAATCTCAAAAGCGTGCAGGCCTTCCCAACACCTGCATGAACAAGCGTTCAAGTCCCAAACCAACTCCACGGCCCAAAAAATGACGCGGTGTTCACGCGCCGAGCCGACTACCACCCACCTTGGCTTGGAGAAACTGCTCCACCCTGCCAGTGCCGAACGAGGCCAGCAGCTTCGGTCCCAAGCCTAGGTCCGACATGGCTCGGGTGACTGCCTCCTCGTGCTCCCTCTTGAGCAGCATCGATGCTGCCGGGCCGTACAGCCGCACCAACACCCTCTTCTCGCCTAAATAATCCTTCTCCTTCTCGTTTTCTTTCTTCTTATCCTTCTCGTCTTTCTCGATCTCAATCATCCTGCTCTGCCTGTGAGGCAGCCACACGCATTCGTACACCTGCATAGAGAGCAGACAAGAGGCACAGCTGAAGAAGAGAGGTGGTCCCCGACAAGTATGAGAAGATGGTAGAAACGCCCAAGACGATCTTAAGAATAAGAAGAAGAAAAGAAAAGAAAAGAGAAGAAAAGAGAAGAAAAGAAAAGAAAGGAAAGAAAAGAAAAACACCCGTAGCCTGACACACACAACTCTTTATGATCCTCCTCACCGTGTTACTCATGGCTGCACTCATGGGCTTCAGAACCACATCGCCTCCCTCCAACGCCTCATCTCCATCCCCCTCATCTCCCCTAACTCCAACCTCATCATTCCAGCCACCCTCCCCACCATGGAACCCTCTTCGCTCCACAGCTCCATTTCCTCTCTCACTGGCCTCTTCGCTCCTCCATATCTTCCTCACGGCCTGTAGAGCTGGACGTAATGACGAGATCGCAGCCGTTGCTTGAGATCTGGCGGCTGCGATTGAACCCTGGAGAGGCTCCTGGTCCTGTCGCGAGTGACGCTGTTCAGTGACCTCCGAAGAGGCTTGCGAATCGGATTGCAAGTCCCTTCGCGGATCTGGTTGTAACTTCGTTTGGGATTCGCCATCAGCGCTATCACCACCACCGCGAGCACCGTAGCTGCTCTCGCGGGACTTTGTTTCTGATGCGTCGGCTAAAACCTCCTCCTCTCGCGCTGATTCTCGCCTCCCTGCACCTGACGTGCTCAAAGCCGTTGCGGTTGCAACGGATGTGCTTGTATCAGACTCGTTGAGCACGTTGGACGTGCTCGTGAAACCCTCAGGGCCGTCGTCGTCAATCCCTAGGTTCACCACGGTCGTGACCTGCGACGTTTTCCTGGTAACCAGCACCATCTGCTCGCCGTCGTCCAAACATTCAAGCATAAACTGTTCCTCAACGCCTCTTTCTTGGTTCTTCTGAAGCTGCAGATGCACCGAGGATGCTTCTACCGCGGACAGCGTGACTGAGGGGATCTCGAAGGCCGCTTCGACGGAGTCCGCGCGGTCGAGGCCTCGGGAGCAGCGGAGCGTCGTGAGCACGCCACGCGGAGAAAGGAACTCGGTATAGGGCGAACCGCTACACGCAAGGAAATCCTCCATGACTTGAAGTAGACGTCATTTCCCAATCGTAAGAATCTCACGTGAGCGCACTACGCTCGTAGGTAGCCTCACGATTTGAAGATACCTGAGCACCAGATTTAGCGACTGAGCGAAGACGGATTAGAATTGACAAAACCTTCTGAATGAAAGGCTTCTGTTGACCCTTTTGAGTTGTGTCTCGCGTGAACAAGGAGTGGCTTGAAGGAGGTGTTGAAAGCGTAACGTATTACTCGGAGACGGCCGTCGTCTCCGAGTGAGTCAGAGTGACCTTGGAAACCCAGGAGTGCACGCAAGGTGAAGAGCGAAGAACTGCCACTTCGCCAGGAAATATTTCGGGACAGTGCTGCTCCGCGTGGCCAGAATGCCAGTGCTGTCTGTAAGTCGACAGCCGCCATATCGGCGGCTGCATGCGAGACAGTCGCAGGTTGCGGCTGTGCATGGCTACCTGCGAGCTGAGAGAGGATGAGGTGGACTGCCGTGAAATGCGGATTGGCGTGGATGGGGTGGGGTTGAATCGAGAGAATGCTGACTGGGGGCTGCGTCACTCTGCGCTGTTCCTGCTCTTGTGATAAAGTCACCTCATACCATTCTCGTGAGAGTATTTATTTTTTGAGTACCATCATCAGGGGTGATGTCGTCAGAAGTAACACACATGGCGGGATGATAATACTCATTTCAGCATTACCCCGGTGTGGTACCAATTATTCCTCAATGGTAACGAACAGTTCGCGGCGCATTCCCTGATGGGTCCCATCGTTTCAACATTTCCGAGTTGCACCAACATGGGCAATTATGCGTTATTGGAGAGTCTCATACAAAAAGATTTATCTTGAAACCAAAGTGTTAACTCATATGGGCACGACATAATAAAAATAACACAATTATTACTATGACACTAAATCCGTATACCGATATAAATCAAATAATTTGGGGAATATTAATATATTATATTCAAGACAAACAGTTAGGGGCTACAATTAAAGAAGGGTTTCATAGGTACAATATTAACATTTATGCTACAAATCAGTCTTGAATGAAGTTTAATGCCCAATTTTGTCCATAAATCGTTAGTGTGTGGTTAACGAAGCTGATGTTTGTTCTATCAAATATAATTTAACACATTCTGCCAATATTTTAAAGCTATATTGTTTAGGTGTATGGCAATCAAGGTTCCCATTGACTCTAACCCTATCCTTCTGTTATTTTCTATAAACTGTAGAAAGCTTTCTCTTGTTATTTTAGGGTAAACCAGCGTACTTGCCATACGGATCCTAGTAAACAAGTTGCTCATATTGAAATGTTGTTTAATGCCACTATAAAAGAGATATGTAAAAATATAGTTGAGCTATATCGTGTTTTTTTAATCACACTAATATTTTTCATCGGAGCTGATTTCTATTGCTATTGAAATAATGGTAGAAAATAATTCATTTCGTTCATATATGATTTGATAAATTGATCTCACAAATAAAAGCTTGTATAGAATGCTCGTAGAACGCATGATTACCGAATGCATCGCAAACTAGTTCTTACCATTTGAGGGATAATTGGTACCTCCCTAGGACGCCGCAGATTTTTTGTTACCGTGGAGAGATAATTGGCACCACGCTTGGGTAAATCTGATCTGATAGTACAATCGCGTCATATGTATTACTCTTGATATCATTACTCTCAATGATGGTTATCCTAGAGATAAATACCCATTTGCGTCGTATAGTCACTGCCATGCCAACCGAAAAGTTTTTTCCTTAGGTTTTATGCCTACAGTTCCGGGAGTGCACGCAATGTGAAGAGCGAAGAACTGCCACTTCGCCAGGAAATATTTCGGGACAGTGCTGCTCCACGTGGCCAGAATGCCAGTGCTGTCTGTAAGTCGACAGCCGCCATATCGGTGGCTGCATGCGAGACAGTCGCAGGTTGCGGTTGTGCGTGGCTACCTGCGAGCTGAGAGAGGATGAGGTGGACTGCCGTGAAATGCGGATTGGCGTGGATGGGGTGGGGTTGAATCGAGAGAATGCTGACTGGGGGCTGCGTCACTCTGCGCTGTTCCTGCTCTTGTGATACAGTCACCTCATAGCATTCTCGTGAGAGTATTTATCTTCTGAGTACCATCTTCACAGGTGATGAAGTCAGTAGTAACACACATGGCGCAATAGTAACCCATCGTTTCAACATTTATGAGTTGCGCCAACATCGGCGATTATACGTTATTGGAGTGTCTCATACAATAATTTTAGGGAAAATACATCGGCGCTCAGTATTAGGGGCCTCGATAACAGTACGGTCAGTAACACGATATAAACAATCAGAATTAGTGAGTTCGCAACGTGTTTCATCAGTCAGGTCCACCGTTAGTCACAAATTACAGAAAAAAAGTTCCACGAATGGTCAGTAGAAGTAACCCTTGCCCGTTTCGGAACGTTTTCCCGCTCGCGCCAGCCCAATTTCCTCATCATTGTGGCTGGCGCGATATTTTTTAAAGCTCCAAGTGCAATTCGAGAGAACTACGTAAATTATTCCCAAATTAAAAATCGCTGGACTTCGCGCACACAAAATTCTAAAATTGAGACCTCGCGCATTTCTGTCACATAAGCTAATTGGGCCGTAAAAATTAAACCGTAGTGCGCGTGCGCTAATTTGTTTCGAGCATGACAAGATCTGTAGATTCGTAATTCGGCGGAATTTTTTTTCTGGTAAATACATTTGTTGAAAAAATCAAAAGACAACTGACAGACTTCTAATAGATTCGTTGTACTAAAATTAATACACGATTAAATACAATTCTGAAAGCACCTTAAATTGTTTTCAAATATATTCATTTCCCGAAAATAAACCTTCGTAGCTATCTATATATGCTTTGTTTTCGGGCGACTCGGGAATGACAAGTTTATGGCTTGACTTTTTTTTTTTGGCCGTAAATGCGGTAGATACAAAGCTGTCATTTTTTATCATGGCGGGATGCGCTACACTCTGTAACAAAAGTATGTGCTTCGAAACAAAATCGTGTTTTCGTGTTTCTAGAGTAACAAATGTCCAACGATTTTTAATTTGGGACCATTGTTTTGTTTTGCTCGAACTGCGCTTGGACCTCGGGAAAAATATCGCGCCCGCCACAATGGTGACGAAATCGAGCTGGCGCGGCCGGGAAAACGTTCCGAAACGGGCGAGGGTTACTTCTACTGACCATTCGTGTAATTTTTTTCCTGTAGTTTGTGATTAACGGTGGAACCCGACAGATGAAACATGTTGCGAACTCACTAGTTCTGATTGTTCATATCGTGTCACTGACCTTACATGTTCTCAAGGCCCCTAATACTGAGCGCCGATGTATTTTTCCATAATTTTAATCTTGAAACCAAAGTGCTGACTCATATGGACATGATATAATAAAATAGCACAATTATTATATTGAAACTAAATTCGTATGCTAATATAAATAAGCTAATTTGGGGATTCTTAATATATAATACGCAAGACATGTAGTTAGGTTCTACAATTAAAGAAGGGTTTCATATGTATAATATTAATATTATGTTACAATCAATATCGAATGAAGTTCTGCGACCACTTTTGTCTACAAATCGTTGGCGTGGGGTTAACGCGGCTGATATTTATTATATCGAATATAATTCAACAATTCTGCCAATATGAAAAAGCTACATTGTTTAGGTGTATGGCGATCAAGGTTTCCCTTGACTCTAATCCCATACTCTTGTCATTTTATATGAACTTGAGAAAGCTTTCTCTAGTCATTTTAGGGTAAACCAAGATTTGTGATACGATCGCTAGTAAACAAGCTAGTCATATTGAAGTTTTGTTTTATGCCATTATACAAGAGATATCTAAAAATATCTTTGAACTATATCATTTTTTATCATACTAATATTTTCCACCGGAGCTGATTTCTACTCCTAATAATGATAGAACATCTTTCATTTCGTTCATATCTGAGTTGAAAAATTGGTTTTATAAAAGAAAGCTTGTATGAGATGCTCATATAACGCATAATTACTAATGTGGGGGCAGTTCAAAAATGTCGAAAGGCTGGGTTATTATTTAGCGAATGCGTCGCGAACTGGTTCTTACAATTAAGAGATAATTGGTACCTCGCTGGGACGCCGCAAATTTTTCGTTACCGTGGAGGGATAATTGGCACCACGGTGAGGTAAATCTGATCTGATGGTACAATCGCGCCATACGTATTACTGTTTACGTCATCACTCCCAATGATGGTTATTCGAGAGATAAATACCCATTTACGTTGTATAATCACCTCCGGTAGTGCCTCGATGAAAGACCTTAAACAGGCTCAGATAGGGTTTTAATAAAACCTAAACCCTAAACCAGAAACCCTAAACCCTAAACCCTAAACCACCTCTGGTCCGTTAGGAAATGGAAGAGGTTGATTCTGGGTCGAGTTTTAAAGCTTATCGTTGATGCATAGCGGAAAGAGAGGGTGCTGAGTATGGATGAATGAGAATGAAGTTTTTTAGGAAATTGTGGTGCTCCTTTTCTATGTAGTTTTGAGATTCCGGATCTGATTAAGAACTATAGGGGTGTTTAGAGAATTAACATGTTGCCCAAGCTACTTGAGAAAGAGAGTCCATAGAAGTCTCACAATACATTCATTATAGACTAGAGAAACTATTGGAAAATTTGCTGGAAATAGAACCCCCCTTCTCAGCACAACGGTACGGTTTCATTTGTGCTAGGTTCAGTGTTGCTTGGGAGCGCGAATCGCCAAAGCTGACTCGACATGCTCCCAATGATCAAGGAAATAGCTCTCCATCGCCACTACCCTTTAATCGCGTGCTTTCAGCAACCTCGTTTCATTGGTCAATAAAGTGGCCCCTCCACTTGCAATACGTATCGTGTCAGAGGATGACGTGGGATGACACGGGCTCAACTTTAACACCTCACTAAGAGCCAAGCAACCCTCGACGGAACCGGGAAGGAACCCAGCGCGAGCCCAAACTGCCCGAATTGCCTCATCACCACGGCCCTATCCACGTGGCACGCCGCATCAGGCAGCGGATGCAACTGCTGCTCGCAGTTCTCAAGGGACGGGCTGCCGTGGCTCGGTTTAGCCACTCTGTTCCTTCAAGGCCTCCTTCCTTCCCTCCCTCCCCGAGCGATGGCGGTGGTGCTCTGGACATATGGTTGTCCCGATTCGCAGCATCGTCATCTCTGGCAACAGCTCTCTTCTTCCATGAGCTTTGATTTGTCACCTCAGCTCCTTCCAATAGCTTTGATGAGGTTTCGTGACAGCCATTGTATTCGCGACAGCCATTGCATTCGCGACAGCCATTCCATTCGCGACAGCCATAGCAGTCGTTTTGCTTGTGAAGCAGCGCTCGATGCATAAGAGCGTTTGCAGCTTATGCACTACCTCTACCCGTTTGCTCGAAAGGCCTTGGAGCCTATTCTCGTTTCTTGCCCGTTGTGCCATCAGCTCAACAACATATCGTACCCTTAGCTGACAG